CCTTTTATCTGCAACTCGTGCAGACTAAGAAATGCCTCACGCCTGTGACGAATTATTTATCCAAGAGTTTCATAAAAAATGACGGCTGACATTTTGGGCCCTTTCAAATCTTCCTATTTTCTGGTTAATTAGACGCACTTATTTCAAGAGAATGATTCGGGCACCTGCTCGCAGTTACTTAGTTTCGATGTCGAGTTCTTAAATTCCACTAACTATTTAAAATACGTGTACAATGACAAACGTGAAAATATTATTATACATGGTGTCTATAAAGTTCGTTTGCACTATAAAAAAATTATAACTTTATTTGTATTTGCGATAGAAATAATTTGTAAAAAGGATTAGAAAGAAGTAAATCTATACTTTTTAAGGTTTTATTGAAATTTTATTTAAGTTTCCACAGGTCCTCCTTCATTAGCAATACAAAGGGTAATACGATTGTGCAGTCTATGGAAAATATTTGCCAAATGATTTACAGTAATGCCTGAAATCCCATTAGTTATTTTAGCTATACTTAAAACTAGGTACATTAAACTTTATAACAAATTATTTCTATCGCAAATACGAATAAAGTTATAGTTTTTTAAAGTGCACACGAACTTTATGGACACTCTCTATGCGCTCTCGATATTAAGAGCAAATATACCTACAAATGTAAATTTAAATAAAAAAAATCTTATAAATTAATATACGATTCGTGTCAATCTATGACTTGAAATTATTTCCATTTAAATAAAACTTGTATTTCTAAAATTATATTCTGGCTTCTTGCATTGCCACAAGAATTTTGCATATTTTTCCATACTGAATGTAATATAAAAGATTGAGAGATAATTGATTCGTTTCTTACGGTTTATCAACCTTTTTCAGGTTATTTAAAGCCAGAATTTGGGGGTGGGACAATAACAATGTTTTAGCGATATAAATCTCACTAATTGTACCAAAGCTTTAGAACGAAGACGTAGATTCATACCTTTCCCAATGGTATTAATATGTAAAGGAATATAACGAACCGAAAGTGAATTGGAACTCGGTTCTCAGATTAAAAATTCCGAGGCATTATCTATTATGGCACCCACACATCCAAGCTTACCGGGCCTGTAATTTTCAAGCGGGTAATCATGCTCGACGTGGTTGCAACTTCGCTGATCTTACCGAGATATCTCCGTAAGTCTTGAGAGATGAATGGAAGATAAAGATTGTCTAATGGTTCTATAAACTTCTTTATATGCTATGTGTCCATAGGGGGCGTGGAAAATCAAAGCGCTGAACATTTGTTCGATCAATAACCTGAAGCTGTTTCGAGTCCGAATAATTTTGGAGAAGCACTGTTTGGGAATTCCGGGTACTGTAAGTAATCTCATACAATCTGAACAATGATTTTGTTTTAAATAACCCACAAAGAGTTTATGTCGATCTGGGTGACATACAGGGAATAATAGCCTAGTAAATTAAAAACATTGCTTCGTGAATCTGTTGACATAGTAATCATGAGTTCAATCCCTGAGCTCAATTAGGGTGTTTGGACTCAGTAGAAACAGGGCGAGCAATAACTGAGCTGGACTATAAAATAAGAACTAGACAGACCTAAACAGGGGCAGTAGAAATAAAACAGTCTACCCTTGTAGATTAAATAAAGGGTTCACTTCAGAATTCCCTGTGGGTTATCTAGATCGAGATAAAACTGATGAAGTTCAGAGGGAACAACATCCGAAACGTTGTGATAGCAACAATAACGATTCTGTATGTAAATAGTGTAAATAATGATAATTACTCATAACTGAAATTCGGATAAAAATTAGCCGACAAACGGTTGCTATACCGTAAAAATCAACTCCATCAATTAATAGTAGCTTTAAGCAGTGTTAACACTTTACCGGTTTCTTCTCTGCCATTAAATTGTATAAACTTATCTCAGGTAAGTGTTGAATTCTCTCAAGACACATTCCTCATAATGCGTCCCTGACATTTCAACTCTTAAATATAAATGTTTTCGTTCCATTCTTCTTCAGTCTTAATGTTCTATGCAGGGTTTCTCAGCATCCTTCTGTAGAATCATTTCTTCGTAGTTTTTCTATTTCTCTTTGAGGAAATTCTCCGGCCTTTTAATCTTACGGATTAATACTATAAACAAATGGTTCAAATGTATGGAACATGCACGGCTGTTGTATTACTTTTAATCTTGTTGGTATGCGGAGGGGGGAGTATGTAATATAGGCAGTTCACGTCCTTTGTATACCATCGCCTAGGCCTACTTCCTGGACAGTTCAGTCCAGTCTCACCGCAAAAGGTCTGAATGTTGACCAAACAGGCCATTACGTTTATCTTGCGATATAAAAACGTACGCCCCAGTAAATATAGTCGGATGACGCGTACGTAAGTCAAATTTCGAGCGTCGAGACGTCGATTTATAAAACTCAAGCAAGCGAGCTTTTTTCATCAGGCACGCAATTCCGTTATTCACGGTTGGTCGTCCTCAAAATTTTCTTAAAAACTAAAATTAATTTTCAAAGAAACAAAATGAAAAGAAAAGACAGTGATTAGTCTTTAATGACAATAATATTATTTTAGAAATATAAAAGAAAATTAATTCATTTAAAATGATCTGAAAGACATGAGCATCTGATTCAGGGGACAACGAAGTCTTAATGGTTTTTTCATGTCTTTGTGCAAAACATAAACAAAAACCTGTCCCAATTATTAGCAAACTTCTTCATTAAAAATAAAATATTAATTATGTTTTTAAAACTGTAGGTCGATTTCTTATAACTATGGTGTCTTTCTTAATTATTTTAATAACAACACTAAGAAATTGATCCGCGAATTTCAGAGGCTTAAAATAAAATAAATATACATAATATGTTTAGATTATTCCATCAAACATGCTTGAATGAAGCTATGTTGCCTATATGTGTGCGTGTGTGTGTATACACACGCACAAGCACACACACACAGATAGATAGATAGATAGATAGATAGATAGATAGATAGATAGATAGATAGATAGATTTGGATAAGTCAAATGACAGATTATAATGAACTGTATCAAAATACTGGAAATCGGATAAAATTAATCTTTTTTATTAAATTCATCTTTTTTATTATATATTTTCCTTTATTAAGCTTTAGGTCCCCCATCAGTTTACGCCTCTTTAACCCGTAGAGGGTTACCGTATCTTAAATAGACCATCGTCTGCAGTATTAATTTTAAATTTTAAATTTATCTTTATTAATTTTTTAATTCTTTCTTTTTTTTCTTTCTGAAATGAACACTAACCACAGTTCATTTCCTGAATCTTTTGTTATATTCTGTTTAATTTTTCTTCTATGAAACAACATTATACCCATGTATCATTTGGGTATTTTTATAAAAATATAAGATATACTTTGTGCCCGATGAGCTGGAAGACCAGCGAAACTTAAGTCACAAACCTAAACGTAGGCATTTGAATATGTATATTTATATATATATATATATATTTATATATATGTGTGTGTGTGTGTGTGTGTGTGTGTGTGTGTGTGTGTGTGTGTATAATGAAATGGACAAAGCCCGACAATTATTTTAAGACATTTTTATGTTTATAAATTCTTTTTATAGATACAAATATTTAAGTAAATGTTCTGTTTTTATAATAAACATTTACCGGACTAAATGTCGAGAAATCTTCATAGAAAATATTCGTCCTCCGACAAGAATCGAACCTGTATCCTATACGCAACCGTCGTATAGCCTGACGTGCTTTTAAACGATTGGGCCACAGAGGAGCATTCGGTTAGCAAGGTCGATTTTACTGTCTTTAAACTACAATCTTCCATGATTCTCTCTCGTACATTCATGTCTGCTCATGTCGGACTTTGTAAATATGTACATATGTGTGTGCGTGCGTCCGCATGATCATATATAGTTTCGTAGGTATCCTATATTTATTTAAAGGATCAAAACCGATCGTATATATATATATATATATATAATATATATATATTAGATATATATATATATATATATATATATATATATATACAAATATAGCCCCAAATAACGCCATTCTGAACCTCAATTATTTCTCCTCAATTGCCGTTAGAATAATTTGAAATATAACCGTTTCCGGTTACACTAAGATCGTTAAGATTATACAATAAACTGGAAATACGTGACTTTGCTAAATATAATGCCCCATTGTTCAGCATATTTCAATATTCAGGCAACCACGTAGTACTCATGGCCTGAAGATTGCGTTCAAGCATGAGACAAATTATACCGTCAAATGATATATGTAATTTTTTGACATACACTGGGGCCATTAGTGCCAATAAATTATCGTTTAAATACGGCAGTCAAGCTACGTATTGTGACTGACCATATGCCTTTAGTTATGACAACGGTGTGCTTATTCTCTTTTGGCCATTTCCACGCTGAAAACACCACAGATAATTGTCGAATCTATATCAGGCATAGAGCCGCTTTTGATGACAAAATAGGTTCCAAGATGATACTAAGAGAATATACTTATTAATGGGACCTGTGAATGCATTTGGAAGAATTCAATTTTAAACAAAAAAATGGAGACATAAAAATATTTAATAATAATACTATTTTGAAACTAATTGCCCTCAAAACCATCAGAGAAGCACACATTAGTTTTAAATTTTTTCATTGTTTGTCTACTGGAATGTTTTTGCCTTACTTATTTCATCATTACGGTAGGTTTGCCTTATATACTTCTTAATTGTACAATTTGCGCTTGTCTGCTCACAAGAAGGCAAATTATTTCCAATTGAATTAAATAGTTTAATGTGACAATTAAGAAACGAATATTTTCGACCATCGTTTTTCTTTCCAGCAAAGAAAGCAGAATGAAATAACAAACATTTCATCGCGTTTTTTTATCAAATTAAAATCTGAATTACAATTCTTGTACCTGTAACAAACTGTTTAAAAATTAAAAAGATCTCATTATTCTATCTGCCTTATTCGGCTTGTAATAAACTCTACGAAAATGGCTGATTCTCAAAGGCATTTTCTTGTTGCCAAGATTAATAAAATTCTTTATTTTTCCTTTCCTATTTTTATTTCTCTTCTATTTCACTCTCTCTCTCCGACATCCCCCTCTCTCTCTCTCTCTCTCTGTTTCCTTTATTACGATTTCTCTCTTTCCTCTTGCTTTTTATTTCTTCCGCTGTTAGCATTTTTATTGTTCTTGTTCTTTGTATTCTCTTTTCCATTTTTTAAAATCTACTATCTCTCTTCTTTCCCCTCTCTCTGTTGTTCTATTTCCCACTTATTCTGCATTCTCTATTGTATTCCCTTGATCTCTCATTCTTTCACTCCTTCTTCTTTTTTCTTTTATTGTTCTTTTAATCATTCTACCTCACTCTCTCCATTTTCGCAATTTCACTTTTCTACCCTCTTTTCCTTTTCTTTCTTTGCATTCTTTCTGTTTCTCTCTTTTTTTCTTATTGCCTTTCTTCGTTTCTCTTATTTGCCTTTTGTTCTCTTTCTCTTTCTCTCTTCCCTTCTCACTCCATCTCTTTCATAATCTATTGTTATCTCTTTCCATTTTATTTATCATTCTGCTTCAGCTCCTCACAATTTGACTTTACTAATGGCTGTCCTCGTTGTCTCTTCCCATAATATTTCAGCAAAGGAAGGATTTATATCTATTTTGGCAACAAGGTTCTCCAAACCCCGCCGCTCAGACATTCGTAATCTTTCCGGCACAATCGACGTAAATTGTTACACGTGTAATTTGAAGCCAACATTGGAGAAATCAGATTTAATTAGAGAGAAAGAGACTCTGTCGTTTCGATTGTAATTGTTCTCCAATGCGAACAGGAAATTTTCAAACAATTATCCACACTTTATGCCATCTTTATGATAAGACCTTTCTCTGTTACGCCTGCTTTGTTCGAATTCTTCAACTAGATTTTATTAATGTCTTCTGTGGACAGCACCAATTTAAATATTGTTAATGAAAACCAGAACATGCGTCACAGGAAATAGTCAATAAACATGCAAAAAATCATATTCTCCATTCTAAATGTATTTCCCTTTTAATTAAAATAGGCTCAATTTGATTGTATGACCCTTTCTTGGCAGGTTTCTAATTTAAACATAACCCTAATTAATAAATCCCCAACATCTGAAAGCTTGATAATATACGAGAGGCTTAAAAGCAAAGAAGTAAGCAAAATCAGCTAATCAGTTAACACTTCCAATCAATTAAGAACACAACCATAGTATCAACGGATATTTTCTTCTTCTTCTTCTTCTTCTTCTTCTTCTTCTTCTTCTTCTTATTATTATTATTATTATTATTATTATTATTATTATTATTTCCTTTGATTTCTGTTGCATAAACATTTCCCTGTGGATCGCAACCAGAGACCTAAGGTAAGAAATGGGTTCATGACATTTTCCATTGATCACACACATTCTACATAATCTTCTACATAAATAAAGCTGTTCATAATGTGTTAGTTGTACTTGTGAGTACAATGATTTGTATTTATTTAAGGCATGGAGTATCAGGAATTTCTTCAATGAGTTTATCGGAAACACTTCTAATTAATCCGAGGGTTCCCATACAACTGGAATTATAGATGTCCGCTTGTGCCACATTTTTCAGATTTCTACTTCAGGAGCCTTGTATTTTGAATATATTCAAAGATACATTACAATCTACTGGGACTGCCATGTCAACAAAAATGCACATTCTTTATTATTATTATTATTATTTTCTTTGATTTCTGGCGTTTACAAATCTGTCTTCTGGCTTCTTGCTTTCCGGTCAATTTCGATCTTTAAAAATTTAAACGTAAAATCAAAATTTATCTTTTGATTCCTTAATTCCCGTTCTCAAATTCTTTCAAACTCAGTAGCTCTTTGTGTCTTAATCGCTTTATTGCTTTGCTTGGAGTAAAGTGATTTGATGTAGAAGATAAGTTTATACAATGAAATAAATATTTCTGAATATTAGACCAGATTTAATACTTTTTTTCACCTTTTTATGCAGGATTTGAAAGCATATGATCAGGACTGATGTTTGTTGATAAAATCGTCATTTCAAGTTTTGCAATTATTTATTGCTGAAGAAATATTTTAATTTCGTTTCCGGATATATCTCCGGATTCTGTTTTTTCTTTTAATATGAATGCGCCAGTATCTACATTTGACACTCTAATCTAAATCATTACAACAGTCAATATGAAAACTTTCATCGTAGCAGCCCTTTCCCATTGATACATATCCGAAGATGTATTTGCTTAGTACTTTAGGAAACTAAAATTAACTTTATCCACAAACTGTTTCTTCTGTCACTTCATTATTGAATACACCAGTTTATATGATTTTCAAGCTGATTAAATGATGTTATTTTATTACATAACAAAAAACAAGAAAAAAAACCTTGTTTGAAATTTATATAGAAAATCTCTCCTAAGAAACTCGGAAATATTTCGTAATATACTCGAAATTAATATATATATATATATATATAACAGTAATAACCATGTTTCAAAAATGGAAGCTAAAAACTTTGAATTTAATTATATATTTAAAGTAAAAACATTAGTTCCGTTTCATCTTCAAGCGAATATTGGAATAACTTATTTTTAAATAATTGATACAACAATAGTTAATAAAAATGAACACGCTACCGCCTCTATCTGAATGACTGGATTTCTCTGTTTACTTGGAAAGAGTAAATTATGAATTTATATGTGCGTTAAAAACTCAGTAAATTTGATATATAGAGAGAGAACATATTTATAGTTTGGTAAGATTCGATAGCGGCACTCTCAATAAATTTTCCATCTAAGTAAGTTATTTATCCAATGTATTGTGACGAACAGTTACGACAGCTTATTTTATATGCATCTGCTTCATAATTATTATTGTTATAGATATTTTTGTCCATCCATAATTATTTTAGATGTCGTTGTAACGACATCAAAATAATTATCATAATTACAACCACATCGAAAACTATTATGGATATGTTCAGAACTAAAAATATCCATATGCCACCCCTCCCGGATTTTCCTCTAAATATATTCTTTCCGGAAATACTCTTTCCCCAAGTTAATAGACATGTCTATAAAACAATTAGAAAAATTAAAAAAAAACGTTAAAATTGAAAACAAAATAATTCAAAATCCAAAACCTTCTATTACTTAAAATACATAATAGATCAGTTAATTAAATTATAATTCAACAACGTTTACACATTTGTTTATTAGACATTAAATTATGTCATTTAGCATCTTTCATAATTCACCTTCTCTTTTCAGTTAGGTTGATTAATAATTTATGAGCATTCATAAATTGATAAATTCTGAAATATTAACGACATTCTTACTTTTGTTTATATATATGCGTTGTAAAACAAAATCCTTACATTTGACTTGATAATGCCCACCAGAGGATAAACCGCCTCGGCTAGAATACTTCTTTGGTTTTTATTTATTTTACAGATATATTTACATATTTAAAATTTTACACACACACACACACACACACACACACACACACACACACACACACACACACGTGTGTGGGAGTGTGTGGTAAGAATAAATAGGAAACTTTTATCAATGTAACATTTTGCACTTTTATTAAAGCTTATTTACATATCTATTAATTCTATATTTTGAGTAATTTTTGCTTTTTGAATAAGTAAAACGCTTTAACCACATTTCACTGAGTTTTATGGTCTACTGGATGCAAAAGCCTACTTCAGAAGGCCGATTAATTTACGGGTGAAAATTATATTTTTTATGAATGAAAATATTTTATACCATCACAGAATAGAAAACTAAATAATAAATCTTTTGATGTGTTGTTCTTTGTATAATAACAATTAAGAGTTCGGAGATACAGTGATTTAATAAGTACGACTTAGATGTAGCACAAGAACAAATGTACGGAACCTAGTGAGGATTGAACTCACGACTCATTCATAAGCTAGACTGGCTTGCTAACCACGTGGGAGTCTTCAAGTTCGGTATTAGAATTAATAACAAATATCCATCATTTCGAAAGACAATAGAAAAGTTGTTTTAATCACCAAATAAAACCAAACGAAAATCCAAAACATGGAACAATGATTAATATGAAAACATCGAAGACAGTTGTTTAAATGAGTTTATGACCTTATCATAGAGTATTTTATTTGTATTTCTATTTTCTTTTGACTCTATATTACGTGTTAATATCTTTTAAGTTTATATAACAATAACAAAAGACTCGTGAAGAAAATGCATTCAACCCTGTGGAAGATTTTTTTCTTGTCTAGAAAAATAAGCATTAAATATTGGGGTTATCAAACCGACAGGCACCACCCCATTACCTCAATGAGGAGACAGTGCACGATTTAGTTTGACATTAGACACTTTGAACATTTTACTCTTCAAGTACACTGAAAATAAAATGTTTATAGAAAATAAAAAGGTCAACTTTGTCTTCCCCGCATCTGAAGATTTTTTTTTCTTTGCTTTTGACACGAGAGATTTCTTCATATTCTCGTCTTTCTGTGAAGGCGAACGTTATTGTTGTCTCGTCAAGTGCGCTAAGGCGCGCCATTTATCATATCCTTGAAGTTTCAGCTGCGCTGAAATATCACAACATGACGCCAAATATTATAATACTTACCTCTCATATACAACATTAACGCTACTTACATAAATTATCCCCTTTTAATCATTGACATTATTAGAAATGACGATAAGTTTTCTAGTTTACACGTACAGAAATATATATATATATATGTGTGTGTGTGTGTGTGTGTGTGTGTGTGTGTGTGTATAAATAATAATTATTATTGTTATTATTATTATTATCATTATTATAATGGAAACTTCGTATCATAAATATACGCCCCAAATTTATTACGTCTATCGTTCTGCGCGTTCAAGAAAATGTGTTCTCGGGCATGGATCAAACCTGAGCCACAGTCCCATCCCTCTGTAAGGAAAACCACCGTTTAATCTGGCGGGATTTAGCTGCCAAGTGGGATGTAGGTTCGATACATGTCGCAGAATATATTTTCTTTACTAAGATTTTTCGGTTGCGCAAACAGATATACGTAAAGCACACTGTTTGATAAATAAAAATCGGAAATGTATTTAAAACACTAAGCCGATGATCTTGGATGCAAATTTACCGTCTCTATATGTTTAACTGTTGTGGGGTAAAGAACTCGACAGACACTATAAAGAATTCCATGGTATGGGGTCGTGAGAATTTGTATTGGAATCAGGCAGTTCGCTACCAGGCTTGTAGCACACTTGCCGAACTCTCTGCTTTGTCCAGACGTGGCTATACCTAAGAGCAGAGTTTCATTTGGGGAAGTAGGCAAACACGACCATGTGTATGCGGGGTCTAAAATGAAATTATACCCGAGCCTACGGACTCGGAATCGCCCCTCATAAAAACCGGCTTTGTGCCACATCCTTCCATGTGGGGAGGATTAGGTTAATACCAGTCGTTTTGGAGTCAGGTAGTTCGCTGCCAGATACGCGACAGACTAGTGTTTCTCTC